GCCCCAACATCGACATTCCCAAGCAGGCTCAGCAATATCTTTTCTACTACGGTCTAAAACAAGAATTCAGAAATATGATAGATACTTTAGCAGGAGGATCAGTGATGAAACTTGATGTGGATGAGGCATATGACCTGTATGAAAAAATAGCTGAAAACCAATCAATGTGGCCAACTGATAGGGAAGCTCCAAGGAAAACATCAGGGTTACACAACGTAGATGCGGTGATAGCTTTGGCCGCACAAATGGAAGTTCTTACCATGAAAATGGACAATCTATCTAAGTCAGTCAACATGGTACACCAATCGCCACCTGTTTGCGAAGGCTGTGGAGCGGATCATGCTAGTACACGCTGCCCTTTGGCGTCTACACATGTTAATCAATCCGAAGAAGTAAGTTACGCACAGAACTTTCAGAGACAGCAAAATAATCCTTTCTCCAACACATTTAATCCGGGTTGGAAGAACCATCCAAATTTTTCATGGTCCAATAATCAAGGACAAGAACAGGGAGGAGGCAATCAGAATAAACCACCCGGGTTCCAACAGCAGCAACAGCAAGGGAGAAGGCCATCGTTGGAAGATTTGCTGGCTCAATACATTACTAAAACTGAGACCAACTTTCAAACCCAACAAGCCTCGATCAAGAATTTGGAACAACAGGTTGGACAAATTGCAGCTCAAGGGACATTGCCTAGTAATACTGAAACAAACCCTAAGGAACAGGTCAAAGCAATCACTACACGTAGTGGCGTCCAGTTACCAGAAATACATGTAAAGCGACCAGCAACTGTCATAGAAAAGGCACCTACCATGGACGAGGAGCAAGTGGATGAATTAGACAAGGCCGCTGAGGAAAATCAAGTTGAGTCATCAAATAGTCCACAGGTGAAAGCAACTGCTCCTGTCAAAGCATATGTTCCTCCAATCCCATTTCCACAGAGATTGCAAAAACATAAGCTCGACAAGCAATTCCAGAAATTTTTGGATGTGTTCAAGAAGCTGCATATTAACATACCATTTGCTGAAGCTTTAGACCAAATGCCCAGCTATGCTAAGTTCATGAAGGATATTCTATCAAATAAGAGGAAGCTGGAAGACAATGAAACAGTCATGCTTACTGAGGAGTGTAGCGCAATTCTCCAACACAAATTACCACCGAAACTAAAAGACCCAGGGAGTTTTACTATTCCTTGTCACATTGGTAATTTATATATAGATAAGGCGTTATGTGATCTAGGAGCTAGCATTAATTTAATGCCTTTATCTCTTTTCTGGAAACTAGGTTTGGGGGAAGCAAAACCGACAACAGTTTTACTACAGTTGGCTGACAGGTCGATCAAACACCCTCGTGGTATTTGTGAGGATATTTTGGTGAAGGTTGACAAGTTTATCTTCC